ACTCTCCTTTACAACAGTAGCAACAAAAGTACCTTTATTTACAACAGTAGCAACAGAAGTACCTTTATTTAGAACAGTAGCAACAGAAGTACCTTTATTTACAACAGTAGCAGCAGAAGTACTTTATTTACAACAGTAGCAGCAGCCATACCATTATTTACAACAGTAGCAACAGAAGTACCTTTATCTACAATAGTAGCCGTAGCCATACCTTTATTTACAACAGTAGCAGCAAAAGTACCTTTATTTACAACAGTAGCAACAGATGTACCATTATTTACAACAGTATCAGCAGAAGTACTTTTATTTACAACAGTAGCAACAGAAATAGCTTTATTTATTTACAGTAGTAGCAGCAGAAGTACTTTTATTTACAGCAATAGCAGCAGAAGTTCCTTTACTTAAAACAGTAGCAGCAGAAGTACATTCAATTACAACAGGATCACTTTAAATATCTTTACCAATAAGAAAATCATAAGGGCTACCTACCTCAGTTAGTAGTCAAGTAGCTTAGCTCTTCAAACAACTTGAATCATGCACTTTTAGAGACAAACACCAGACTTGGTGCACATATACTCTGTCCGCTCCTCACTCTACCACCATAACCGTCACTTGCTCCAACTTGACACCAGGAGAAGAAACTGCTTCACGAAGTTACTCGACCCCAGTGAACACCGTTTCAGAACCAGTTTCCCATCCAACTATGAGGCCAGTTTCGGATTTGACTATGAGACAGCGGTATCGACTCTATCGAGACAAGTGTGTCTGCCTGGTAAGCTGAGTTTCTTCTGTGCGGCCTACTGTGTTCCTCTTCTCCCGGCAATTTGTATTAAGGACTACTACTGGTGATGTTGTGAACTTGTGATGGTTTGATGGTAGTGGACTACGGCATTAATCCCTGGTTCCTTGTGGTTGGCCATAGCAACCTCGACTTGCTACCTGAGCTGCCATTTTTATCAGGATTTGGTGTTGTTCTATATAGGTGTATTTAATGTTTAAAGTAAGAATAATGCATATGCATAGTTGTTACTTTTGTTTTGATAATTGCAGATTTTGTGTTTTACTTGCTATTTAATGTACCTAATTAACTAACTTAATTAATACTTAATATAAATGTTATTAAATTACTCAGTTTACATGGTTATCTTCTTATCCCTTTCCTAGATTAAATTTGTCTGTCACGAACATTGATTCTTGTGTGTGTGCTCCTTACTTGCTGCATCCCCGTAATTCAACCGCTAGATTTTTCACTCTGTATTTTTACTTGTCAACTTTGCCTTTCCTTAATGTTGTGGGTAGCAAGGAGGTACATCACATTACACATGAAAGAAACTACCTTGACAGCGCCCTCTGAAGGCTAGTGTTACCCCCTAGTGGTGGTGTTCGGAAGTGCAATATGAAAGGGTCATATAATCTTTTCTAATCAACATTTAGCGATTCTGATGTCATATCTGAATTCCTAGAAATTTTCTTCAATTATAACTTATCTATATTTACTTATGCTATATGCTTTTCACGATTATTTAGTTTAAGTACAAAATTGCACAAACATCTTGATGTTTTATTCATTTAATGATGTTTACGATCAATGGAGAAACTTAAATTGTAATGTGATTTCAGGAGCTCATCGAGAACGTAGTTTTGAAATGTATATAAATACCCTATTATAACTTATTCCATGGTTCTTTGCCTTAAATCAAGCTAATTAGGCTCTATGGCTTCCAGTTCACATAAGGAACATGGTTAGTTTGGTCCCCACAGATCCAATTGAATTGTTGCCACTGAATTCAATGCTGGCCACTTTGTGGTTTGCAAAACTCCAAATCTTTTCTCACCAATAACAAGAGATTAGGGGCATGATCAGAACAATGGGTAGGTAAAGGGTTCTGGAGGAGCTGTTGGATTGACACAGAATCCCAGTGTTTTTCGCTGATGGATGACTGCAGGTCCTGAAGCAACCAAGATACTTATGGAATTTACGGGTAACTATCGATCACAGCATAACAGAAATAATGTATGTCACCATGAATAGACAGCAGCAAACCAACAGTCATTTGCAGCTGAAGTGAAGCCCGTTGTGTCAATTCTCAATGAATTGGAGAATCCGTTTATGGAGGAGAGCACAGATTTTTTAACCTTAGACAGCAGAGTTGTGGATACAGTGAAGAACATAGAAAACATAGTAAAATACCAATATAACACCGTTGTTAAAGAGAGATTATTTACATATACAAAGTCAATCACCCATGTCATTAGTCGAAACAAGCTGGCACTTTATTCACATCCAAGAAAAATTGCTATTTGAAGAGAGAAACAAACTGCAGATTTTTGGAAGGAAGACTGTGAAACAATGTCCAGTTACTATTTTTTAGGGCTGGTACAAGAAGGAAACCAGAGGAATTTTTTCAGTACGAAAATAATTCTTTCCCGCCTGCTCTTTTTGACAATGGATAATTGTCACCTTCAGTGGAGTGGACAAAGCTGACTTCGGGAAATATCCGTCCGTTCCTGTTTCAAGTACATCAGCAGTGGACACAGAGGTCTTTGATGGTCTAACACTCGTTCATCTGTTAGCATCAAAAGTTCGTATCTCAGTTAATGAGTCTGTCTCAAAAATGTCCATCGTGGAGATATAGGTTGGATGTATATCTGCAAAAGTCTCTTACGACTGACATTTGAGATAGGCAAGTGACAGAAGGTACGATGCAGTTCTAAAGTGGCGAGCAACTGGAAGGACTTTCTATGAGAGAGTGATAACTTGGTGGAGCTGTTTGATTTTCTCACCGAGCTCATTACCTATGCAAAATGCTCCAGGAGAAAAGAAGTATATAAGGGAACGGGTCCTAATGTGTTGTGCAAAACTCATGTAGCCCTAGAATATTTACAACTTTGCCCTCATGCGGAAGCTGACACACCTGTTATGCTACATATGTATGATGCTGTAAGGAAGAAAATCAACTAAAATTCTCATTGGTACTGTAGACACAGATGATGTTATTCGCAATTGCCTTGACAGAAAAAAAATTATGTCAGTGAATTGTGAGTGGGTTTTGGCAAGGAACACAACTTTAAGTATGTGTCAGTTCATGAAATGACATCTACCCTTGTAGCCCAAAGATCAATGTCATTGCCATTTTTCACGGCTTTACAGGTTGTGATACAGTTTTGCATTTTCGAGGCATTGGCCAAAAAATAAAGCCAGTATAGCAGATATAGATTTTGTTTCCTGAAGCGACTCGAGCCTTTATGTTTATGGTGTTGTCCAACAGCCCTCAGAACATTCCATCAGACTGGCAAGCATTGATTGAACGGTTGTGGTGCTTCTCGATGATCTAACCAGTGATATTTCGTAAGTCAATAAGGCAAGGTTTCACCTTCTATCACAATGTAGACATTTTGGAAACATCACATCAGCCGTACTTCAGCATACACAATGAGCCGTGTATGAGGTGGATCATAAATGGGGTAAGGTCTTAAAGAGAGACCCGAGTATGTGTAGTCCAGCAGAGTGGGGCTGGAAAGATTTGTAAGGTGTTTGGAGAAAATTTCCCGCAGCAAGAAAAGGCTCTAGAGAACTGTTCAAATGCATATGCAAGACTAGGTGCACACAATGTATAGGGTATCCCAGCAAAATGTCCCTGCCTCCTTTCCTGCCTGCATGCCCCCTGCATCCCTCCCTGCCTGATCACTGCCTCCCTCCCTCCCTCCCTCCCTCAAACTCACAGTGACTCAGGGAGCAGGTAGGGAGGGAGAGAGGCAGGGACATATTTCCAGTGGGACACCCCGTAAATGCTCGCGGAAAGACCTACAATGCATAGCTCTAGGCAACTGTACCTTTATTAAACATGATTATTATTGAGAGTGAGACAAGAGAGAGAGATTATTTTTTTTTAGCAAAACCAAGAGATTCATGATTGTCTTATATTTCTGTTTTTTTTTATAATTTCCTTAGAATTGCGATGGCTGCCAGTGTTGCTAAGAAGAGGAAGTACAATGGTGAATACATTAACTTCGGATTTACATCAATCCTCGCTGATGGCATCGAGAAACCTCAGTGTGTGTTGTGTTTCAAGTGTTGGGGAACGATTCCATGAGGCCTAGTAGGCTGAAGCATCATCTGACGACAATCCACCCCCAGTATGCGGAGAGAGACCCCGATTTCTTCAAGCGCCATGAACGGAGTTTGGGAAAACAGAGACCGGATGAGAATGGTGCCTTCCAACAACAGAACTTAAGTGTAGTTGAGGCATCATATGAGGTTTACATTGATATAGCAAAGAAGAAGAAGGCCCACACGATTGGTGAAACTTTAATTTAGCGGGTTCTTGGAGTGGCAAGTGAACGTAAGATTCAGCAGATTGCCTTGTCAGACGACACGGTGAAACGGAAATTAGTGAAATGTCAGATGATATCATGGAACAAGTGATACAGGAGATTAAATCGTCTCCAACTGGTATGTTTACATTACAGTTAAATAAGACAACTGATGTGAGTTCTTGTGCACAGCTACTCGTGTTTGTTAGGTATGTATTCTTGCGTGACATCAAGGATGAATATACACAGCTGGAACTATCACAACAGCCTTCGATGTGATGGAAAAGTTGACTTCTTTCTTCACAGCTAACGGGATCACCTGTAAAAATTGTTGTGGAGGCTGTACTGATGGGGCTCCGGCGATGCTGGGATCGAAATCGGGGTTACAGAAGCACGTCAAGGAAGTAGCTCGGAATGCCAAAGAGGTTCATTGTATGATCCATCGTTTTGCACCTGAGTCGAAAGCCCTCCCTGAAGCCCTTTGCAAGATCCTGGAGGCAGTGGTAAAATGCGTTAACTTTGTGAAAGCAGGAGATTTGAACTCTCGCATTTTCCAGAACCTCTGTAGAGGCATGGATTCAGAGCATGAAAACCTCCTCTTTTACTCCAAAGTGCGATGGCTTTCCACGGGTAATGTTGTGAATTGAATGTTCGAACTTCGGGGAGAACTTAAGTTGTTATTGGAAATGAAAAGGAAGGCTGGTCTACTAAGTCACTTCAACGAGGTGTTGTGGGAGCCACGTCTTGCGTACCTGGCAGACATATTTGAGCAGCTAAACAGGCTGAATCTCAAGCTACAAAGCAAGGAAAGAAATGTGTTTCACCACATGGATTGTATTCGTGCAATTCTTGACAAACTCCAGAACTGGCAAAGGAAAGTCAGTGAGGGAAATGTTGTCAAGTTTGAGAATATCTCAATTGTTCTTGACGAGATTGAAGAGGATCATGTACTTGACCCATCGCTCAAAAATGAAATAATTCAGCACTTAAAATCCTTGGAAAGTGAGCTCAAAAGGTACTTCCCAGAATTCGAGGAGGAAGAAGGGAAATTGGTGAGGAATCCTTTCCCTGGCACTCTTGATATTGCTGCCATTCCCGACGATGGTCAAGACGAATTCCTTGATCTCAGGAACGAATCTGCTGCCAGAGACCTCTATAAAGAAAAATCTCTGACTGTATTCTGGTGCTCAATGTATCAGTCATATCCAAAAGTTAGTGAGATCACACTTCGAGTCCTCTTGCCATTTTCTACTACTTATTTATGTGAATCTGGTTTCTCCACCTTCTTCAAATAGAGATAAAAGCCGAAACCGGTTACATGTGAACCCAGACATGAGATGTGCCTTATCAGTGACTCAACCTCGAATCAGTCGACTGACTGAAAGGAAACAATGTCATCCATCCCATTGAACTGTAACAAAATATGCATTCTGTTTGATGATTGTAAACATTAAAATAAAGGAATAGAACCAAAACAGTTTATTTTCATCATTATTTGTGAGGGGCTTGGGAGAGAACTGAAGGAGGGCCACGAGGATGTTGAGATTTCCTCATGAGGGGAATAAAGTGAAAAAGTTTGAGAAACACTGGGTTAGACTGACCGAAAGTTCTGGGTCTTTATGAAATTTTTTTTTGAGTTTGTAGTTTTCTTTTATCATTGCCTTGTTATCACTTGTGATATAGGGCTTGGAGAAAGACATACGTTTTATTAAGTTAGTCTTGAGGAGGAAGCAAGTATTAAAGATGCAAGAAGAGTTGCAGCCTATCACGTAAGGGCTTTCGGAAGCGTAGACAAGATACCACTAAGCATTCATTGAGTCGTTTTCGAACAGGAGTATATTGTCGGCGCATTAGTCTCTGTATTGTATTGTGACTTCACTAGACATGGTAAAAACTGAGAAGCATTCTGAGATATTGTTATAAAAAATTCCACTTGCAAGATTGTTAGGAATGTTGTTAGACCAGATATGATCTATCACAGTGCAGTTACTCTAGTGGGTTTGGTTATTGTGTTGAAGAAGATCTTAGAATGACAGGTAGCAAGAACGTCTATTACTGAGTGTCCGTCTCTGATTTTAGTAGATCATCTTTGAAATCTGTAAGGTAGCAACTTATGATAGAGATAAACTCCGATCAAGAAAGTTCCTTACATTGGTGTGGGGTTTTCTGTAAATTACTCCTACTAGAATATTTCGTGTGTCGTTACGTATTTCAGTGAAAACCAGAATATTTCGTGTTTCGTTACGTATTTCAGTGAAAACACTCTCCTGGACTTTTAACTCATCTGTCACTGAATTGTTATACTTAATATCAACATATAACGCGACACCACCACTGTGTCATGACGTATTGGCTCCATGGGTTTATTATAATTAGGGATGTTATACAAGCGTTCAATATCGTTAGTGAGTTTGCTCTCACAGAATCCAAATACATCACATTTATGAACAATAGAAGATACACACTGATCTTTATGATGGTTTCTAAGTGAAAGGGTAATACTGCTGAAATTATGACTAAATAAAAAGAAAGGAATTGAGGCAGTTTGAGGCTGAAGCTAAACTCAGGAGAGTTAGGAAATTAATAGTTACAGTTGGGGTTGGTGTAACCAAGTGGGTTTTGTAAAAAGACACTGAGATGTGAAAAAGGAAGGTCAAAGATAGTTCAATTAGTGGGGGAATATGTTATTAGATATATATTTCAAAGGGAATCTTTCCCAGTAATTTCAAATTATCACTATTTGTATTATTACCTAAAAAGCCAGGAGCCTTACATGCACACAATTTAGAACAATTAACATAAAAAGTCATGCTTGCAAAGTTTTATTAAAAAAAAAGTAGAATAAATTTTAGAATAAACAGTGAATTATCTTAACATCAAAATGAATTTAGAAATTAAAAAGACACTGGAGAAGCTGTATTTGGCTCGTGAATTTTGAGTCAAAGGGCTTTTAGAGGTCCAAAGAAGTTTATATATCTGCTCTGTTGATTATGAAAATCATTTTTGGTAAAGCACAATAAACTTATAGAGGTCTTGGAAATAATGGGCATTAATGAAGGAGATACTAGAATTGTAAAAAAAAAAATGGCAACAGAAGGCTGTAGTGTTAGTAAATAATGAATATACTAATTGGTTAAAAGTTAGACATCTTATATATTCAAAATTCTTATTGAGAGAAGTTATAAGTGGCAATGAAGGAATAACAGTTCATGGTAAAGTAATATAAAAAATACACTGTGAGGCGTTACAAAAACTGGTAAATCGATTACTGGAAAAGGTGAAGAATATGGCTTAAAAATTAATGATACAAAAACGAAAGTAATGGTTGTTTCCAAATTGAAGATAGATCCTTAAATATAATTTTGTGTGGGCAACAGGGAACTTAAAAAAATGTGTATTTGGGAAGTACTATTATATGTGTGAAGCAAAACCAGTATTAAATAATCTAAAAAAAAAATGAGTAAAAAGCTGCTGAAAGGCTATATATGATAATGACTGTTGTATGGATCAGAAGCGTGGACAATATCAGCGGACACAAGAAAAATTTTGAAGGCCTTTGAAATGTGTTGGTATAGGCGAATGTTAAGAATAAGTTACACTGACAGAAAACAAACAAAGAAGTACTAAGGTTAGCCATACCGTCAAGAGAAACACTTGAAATGTACAGAAAAAGAAAGAATGGGGGAATAATAACAGAAATATTAATGGGCAAAGTTAAGGGTAGGAGGGCCAGGGGAAGGCTGAAACTGGGATGAGTGAATTAAAACTGGTTCCCCATAAAGATAAAAAATCTTGTAAGATTGGCAAAAACAGCCTGAAAAGGCTTAGAATGGAGGACTGTGGTCACAACCCTCAGATATAAGGGTTGATTTTAACGAGGCAAACAGACAAACAAACGTGGGTGACGAATGTATTATAATTTTTCCATTAGATGATCATGTATCTGTAAGTTGTTTGTCTTTTCGTCTTTTCTTACTTTTCTTTCATGTATATAACGAGGTTCAGAAACCTTAAAGAGAGGGGGAAATGAGATGTTCTTTAATAATGCAAGTCAAGTGTAGCAATACTCGATCATATCCTCAACTGGCATTTGCAGCTAACAAGGTGAGTAATTTAACATCCTCATTGACTCTTAACGCTCCATAACAACTCGCTGTACATACTAAGTGGTAGCGCAACACGGGTTAAGTGTAAATAAGGGTAAGCAAACACAGCTTAGGTCGAGACTCTCCAGTATGTCACGGTGAAGGGTCGCTTCGGCACTATTGGGCCGCCACCCACCGGAGACATCTTGGCCTAGTGAGGGGCTGATAATAGTATCTCCTTTACAAATGCCACAATACGCGGTAATTAACATAACGAGGCGGCAATTAAGGGACAATACAGGGTACGATGTGTCGACGTTAATCGAGTTGGGAACTGTAACAACCATTGTTTAAGCTCGAGAGAATTGCCCTTGTTAGCAGTTTCCGTCGGACACGTTAATAAATCCACAGAGGGATAGAGACACGGAATGAGAGAGAGAGAGAGAGAGAGACTTATAGGCAGGAGGATATGGGGGAATAGAGTACTCAGTTCATGGGTATTGAACGAGGAGATAAAACACGGTGGTGAAGCAATATTACCAAGTGTAGGAGTTCATAGTGAGAGTGCAGCCTGAAACAGTACGCTGTGAAACAACCACACCTAAGTGAAGGTAAAACTACTCTGAACTATCTTTAGATTTGTTAATATTTGCTGGTTCTGTAAGTCTATGCACTGTACCTAACGGTTTTTGGTATCTCTTTGACACCCCACAACCGATGGGGGACAGATCTCATTCTGTTTTTGTTTGTTTTTTCTTTTTGCTATATTTACAAACCTCATGATCACCTACAGATGTCTTTAAAAGCAAGTTTAATGGATGAAAATCTAGAACACAGAAATATTTGGGTGATGTGATCACTAGAGGGCGGGGTTAGTTATCACGAATGTATGTTATGACTACTTACACATAAACTTTCAGATAGCCCAACTAATTCGCAGATAACTCTTCCTTAAGCATTTAGCACCAAAACTAGTGGATATATGCATATTATGGGCAAATAATATACGAGATTTTGGGCTTTAACCTCAATAATAGGCAGATGAGATCGGAGCCGCAGGTCACGTGACACTGCAGTGTACTTGGAGCGACGATCTTAAAGTAAGGTTTTCTCATAAACAATTTAACCTCATCCAATTCTTGTTGAAAGATAAGTAATATATATTGAATGATTCAGAATAATGCAGCTCTTCTTAAAACACCCTATCACCAGAATTATTTCAGAAATGAAGATGAAATAGTGGATTACTTGCAATTATGGTAAACGCCCCCACTGTACTCGCACGCACCTCTTTTTTATATAACACAATTTAATGAACAAGATAACACGAGTGGCTTAATAAATCATCCCCTGTGTACCTGAGACGAACACCTTAACATTTTTTCTTAACTTAGAGTGAATGTAGCATTACTAAGTTCATATCAGGATATTATTAATCTTCACTGGTTAAGGGCATTGTGTATACAGCATACAGAATATTAAGCCTTTGGTACACAAGGAGGTAGAATGAGTGGCGCTACATTCAACTACATTCACTCCCCAAAATTAAATTACGTACTCACTCTCAGCTTATTATTATTATTTAATTTATTTATTACACCTCAGAGAGCGACAAGCCTAGTCACAAGATCATGCAGTGAAGCACTAACACAGTGGTACTCGTGTCTCGCAGGAAATTACTTGTGATATGGAGACATGATGTGAGTTGAGGACAATAGGAGTTAGCATCCACCTAAGCGTGGGTAGCGTACAAGAATTAAATTTAGATTATTATGTACAAGTAGGTAGTGACATACTATATAGTGGTGAGGAGGTCACTGATAGTGGGACAGTCAAGGCAATAGCGTTGAAGGGTGTTAGCGTTGGAACGGTTACAGAGTTTACAAGAAGATAAGTGCGAGATACTTGCCAGATAGGTCTGTGTCCTAACCTAATAAGAGCCGAGACAACATTATGTCTGTGGACCATAAATCTAAGTCGACGATAATTATGTGGATAATGAAAAAAGTGATCATAGTGTTGGATGGATACTTAGTCTAAGCCTGTTCACCATCTCCGCTATGGATTTTAGGGAGAAAAACGGCTGAACATATATTCTCTTTCGGTAGAAGAGGAGGAAGGGTGTAGTCCCAACACCAGGGAAGGCCAGTCCACAAGCATTCTTCGCGAGAGGGTCAATAGTATCATTGTTTGTTATTCTAAGATATAACCCACAAAAATTGTGGGTTAAAGCTAAAAGACGTAACATATGTTAAATTAAAGGAAGGTATAAAGGCTGAGAGGAGGAGAAGGCCTGGAGGGCAGACTGAGAATCACAAATCATCATACCGTATATTCTCCTCTGAAAGAGGAGATTAGCTGCATCTAAGATTCCATGTAATTCCTTATAGGTAGAGCTCAACCAGTTCGGAAGTCTACTGTCCAGCCGCCCCAACCTCCTGCCGGTGGGTCCACATCCAGTCTGCCTGTAGGGAACCGTCGGTGTACAAATGATGTACAGCAGGGACTAAAGTAGAGACTATATCTATCGTTTCCAGAGCTAATTGTTTCTGAAGTAAAAGAAGGCCCTCCTTTGTGGTGTGAGTAAAGATGACTGCTGGACAGGGAATCCTCCAGGATGGAGGGTCGCGGTCAACCTCTGCTAAGGGTGCATCAATTTCGAGGTTCTGAAGCATAGAACAAATTATTTTAATGAGGATGAAACCACCCGGCCGAAGTAGGGGCCGAGGTGAATTTGGGTCAAGTGAAGCTCTGAAGATATAAGAATAATGGGGGGCACGGTGGGGAGGGTGAAGACATTTGACACTGAAGTAGGAGACATTAGCGTATGTTCTCTCAACAAGGGAAGGAAGATTGAGTTCAGTTTGCATGTTGTCAATCCTGGTGGAGGTGGGAAAACCCAAGACTAATTTCATTACTTTGTTTTGAATCTTTTCAAAGGCTGTAGGGATTTTTGGGGAGAGTTGACATAGAGCAGGAGAGGGGCTGTTGCAGTCGATCTATGAGGTCCCGGACGATGGGTTGAATACGTTGACGTACGGGTGTAGCTGGAGTAATCCGTACACATGCAGTGGTGCACCCAGGTAGATATACTGCGTACACGGAAGGATAACACTATTTCCCACAGTGAAGTCTAGGAGTGTTCCGGGTTTCGAGGACAACAGATCATACTGTACTCTGGTCTGGGGAGAGGATGATACCACAAACAGAAAACGACGTTGAAAATGAGTTGAGAAGGCGTTGACAATCTTCCGGCGACACAGAGTGACTGCAGATATCATTTGCGTAACAAGTAACTGTGGAACTTGGAATGGCAGGGCGAAGAATAAGTAGGCAATGCATAAGGACATTCAAAAGAAAGGGCTAATAACACCGCCTTGTGGAGTACCAAGATTAAAGTCCTTGTTAGAGCGAAGGTACAGTCAAGGAATCAAGTATCTTCGTCACTTTATCCGATGAATATTGAAACTTGGCACAATATTCTGGAGTTGTTGCCGTGACTACAGCCGGTCAATTGGTATGCCTGATTAGATAGAAGCTTCGAATTCTTACATAAATCACAGTGAGCCTCGAGTCGAAATTTCATAAGTATGCATTCTCTGAATGCTGGCCATACTGGTCGGACGTGTCATCCTTGTATCCTGCGACACTACTGCTTTGCACTATACCTGGGACAAGTGGTGGGCAGAAACTTGTGAGGGCTTTGGCTAGAGACGAAAAGATTGCACTATTGAACAACATAGAACACGACCTGCGGCTTTCAAGTCGCGAAATCGGAAGCAGATGATCCGCGGCCAACAACAATGGAGGTGACAGACAGAAAGAAAGAAAAGAAGAGGAGGCAAGAGTTGGCGAACAAGTGAAGGAAGCGATAGTGATGAGGTCATGTATGAGAGGAAGAAAAGGACTGCACACGCAGAAGAAAGTAGAAAGAATTCAACTGGGAATAAAACGCAGCAAGTTAGTCGAATGAATCGTCGTGACAGTACCAATGTGACGAGCAACCCGGGCGGTGGAAACAGCTCAGGTAGGAGGAGGTTGAATTTTCCAAATGATTTACGCTTGTCATTCTATGAGCGGTTGCTGTGGCTGCTACACTGGGAAGAGAGTATAAAAAATTTAACCCCTGCATAAGGAAGGTCGTAATAATTCCTACCTGACTGTAGCTGGGGAAATAGCGGTAAAGTTTTTGACGACGGCATGATTATAGGAGGTGATATGACAATGCCTCAGGACACAGAACACCGCACCAAGGTGATCGTCTTCATGTTCCCATTTACAGGTATACTGGATCCTGATTTTCTGCTTCACGATACACGATTCGTATGGGCAAAGCGACATGACATCCGGGGTGAGAAGAAGAACCAAGTGGTAGCCTTGATGGAGGGAGACGTTCCGGAGAAGATTTTCATTTCTGGAATAGGATATAGGAGAATTGCAAAGTTTATTTAACAACCTGTTCTGTGTTACAAGTGCAGCAGGTGGGGTCATATGGCCTGGAAATGTCAAAGTGAATGTCAGTGTCGTTACTGTGGAAAAAATAAATTCAATAGGTTGTGGAAATAAAATAAAGTCTAAGCAACATGTTGTGCCGTGCTGTTGCAACTGTGTCGGCGCACACAATACAGGCTTCTCAATTTGCAATACGAAGCCACAGATGTGTGGTGCGCGGTGGCAGAAAATGGGGGAAGTGCAGCAACGAACAAAGGAGGAAGGACGAGGAGTTGCAGGTGAGACAACTCTACCTTCAAGTGAGAACGTGTAGAAGAAGAGGATGGAACAGAGTGACACGTTGAAAGTAACAGGAAATGGTGCAGGAGCTGCACCGAAAGTTGTTCCAGAAGAGAAGGTAATTGACAAGTTTGGTGATGTGTATGGTGTAGTAGTTCAACTTGGGCAAGAAATTCAGATGCTTTGAAAAAAGGTAGAGGACAACCAGACGGTAATTGCCTATTTTTGTGAATATAAAAATGTGGAGTGTTGAACTAAATGGAAAGAAGGTTGAAAATAATACAGTAATATAATCTGACAGACCATCTTTGCCATGGGGGACCGGAAATGTGGACATACTGGTAGAGATAACCCGCAAGTGGGGTGACATCCCTGATGTATTACATGATAAGGTACTAGCTGGAGTGAAAGAAGTAATGGAACAGTTTGTGATTGTTACTAGGCAAAATTGAGGTCACTAGTTTAAGTATACTTTCATGGAATG